CAGTTTTGCATAAAGGTGGAGACAAAAATTTAGTTACAAATTATAGACCCATCTCTGTTCTTCCAATATTTTCTAAAGGGCTGGAAAAAATTATATTATATCGTTTAGACAATTTTTTTACGAAGACCTCAGTGCTAACTGACTCCCAGTTCGGATTTCGCAAGGGAAAATCCACGGAAAGCGCTCTGATATCACAGAAAGAAATAATATTACACAATATAGAATGCAAACTGCTGACACTGGGAATATTTATTGACCTTAGCAAAGCGTTTGACTGTCTTAACCATTCGACGCTCCTTGATAAACTTTCATGTTATGGCATACGTGGCACGCCTTTGATACTTATTCATTCATATTTAGAACACCGTAAGCAATGTGTCTCCGTGAGTGATCATGTTTCCTCTTTGCAAATCTTGAAGTTTGGTGTGCCCCAAGGCAGCATACTCGGCCCTCTGCTGTTCAATGTATATATAAATGATCTAGTCAATATTTGCCATCAAGCACGTTTTGTAATGTATGCAGACGACACGAGTATATTTCTGTCTGCATCGAATATGGACGAACTTATACCCATGGGAAACTTAGTTTTGGAAAAGTTTCTTTCGTGGTCAAAAATAAATGGTCTTAAAATAAACACTGTAAAGTCCAAAGCAATTTTGTTTAGACCTGTAAATAAGCACGTTATTAGTAATTATACTCTAGAGATTGGAACTGACCAGATTGAAATAGTTAAACAGCACAAAACGCTAGGTGTCATTTTTTCAGAACATATGCAATGGGATAATCACATCGAATACTTAGTTACGAAACTGTCAAAAGTTGTTGGAATAATACGCCACTGTCGCTCCTTGTTGCCTGTAAATATTAAAATGCAAATTTATCATGCTCTGTTTAGCTCACAAATTAACTATTGTCATTTGGTTTGGGGCACAACAACCAAATCTAATATTAACAAACTCACGATCCTACAAAAGAAAATGCTGCGTTTTATTGCAAACGTGCCTTACGACACTCATACTGAGCCATTATTTCTTAAATTCAACATCATGAGGATTGCCAGTGTATACGAGTACCGTTTGCTATGTTCTTATTTATTTTCGACCGCTGAGTTTGCTTCTTTTTTGTCTAATGTATCCCATCTGACAAAACGTGAATCCTTCATCCTTGTCAGACGCAGAGAGTTCTGGAACGTGCCTCATTTTCGTACAAATTATGCACTCCAATCTATTGCGCATAACCTGCCTTCATTACTTAACAAGTTCCTTATAGACCACAATGATATTCACTGTTTAACAAAAAAAGATGTACGTGTTTGTTTTGTTTAGTCAAAGTGTATTCTGTAGTACTTGTTTTTTTTATAATGCCCTGTAAGTGCAGGGGCACCAGGCCCAGTCAAGCTACCTCATGGAAGCTTTTTGTCTAGTGCCCTCAGCACAATATTGCTGAAAATAAATATTACTTACTTACTTACTATTACTAATTTCTCTCCATGGTTAGTATATAGTCTAGGAAAAAGAAACTTCTTAGTCCGCATTAGAATTTGCTCTTTTGTTAAGAGGATCTATCTTACTAGAATCGCATAGCAGTGCAACTGCTCTATTAGCTAACTCTTGCTACATTAATTTATTGTTCTTTCTCTGCTTCCTCGCTTATTGCACGATAAATGGCGCTGCATGCTATTTCGTATACCACCTCTTCAAGTTTTTTTGCTTTTTTAATTGGAACACGTTCTATATAACAACATACTTTAACAAAGGATAGATTCATTCAGTGCGGTGTGTACTCTTTTTCCCACAGACATATTTGCTACAATCCGAATTATATATAAATAAGCAGAGACGGCAAGGATCCTTTTAATAAATATTAAACACGATAATTTCATGCAACATTTAGTTCCATATAAATCTCTAAATATTTTGTTGTTTGGACATACTATAACGATAGGCGCATAAAGTTTCTGCAATTATGACAATGAAGGAAATATGAAACTGTCAAGTTTAATTGTTTTTAGGGAATACGAAAGCACACCAGCTTGGATGTACTTGAATTGACAAAAAATATGATTGTCTAAAAATCATGCCATTAGTAATTTAATATATTTCTGAAAAATTTAAATTCTGTGTGTTTCGTCACTGTGCTCGAGTACTAGGGCTGTATCGTCTGCCTAGTGATACACTTAAGCTGTAAGTGGTAGTGCTCCGATTCGATTTACATAAAACATACATATTAAAGAAAAGAGGACCTAATATTGAGCCCTGAGGCACTCCCAAGTTATTCTGCATTACATTACTCTTGTTGTTGCCTATTTTTAACCCGCTTATCCTGCTTTGTAATGTAATATTTAGAAATTCATTGATAGACCCCCCCCCCTCCCCCCCCCCCCCCCGCCCCCGAAACCCATATTTCCTAGCTTCAATACTAGTAGTTTATGATCAGTTGCCTCAAAAACATTTATTAAAAAGGGCAAACACAAAAATGGCTTCTACGCAGACTGTAATTAACGTGATCTGTACAAAGTTTCTGCCCAAGTTTGCGGTCCTATTTCTGCAAAGTCGTATTGGGATGTGTGTATCAAATAACACTTTTTCACAACATGAATTTGTTTTTTTGTGTGCGAATTTTTTTTTCATAATCTGCGTTGTTAGTGGCAACATCAAAATCGGACTGTAATACATAACGTCTTTTCTTTTACCGTTTTAATATACCGGTCTAATTCGCACGGTGTTTTATCTATACTGGTATGTATACAGTTGAATGATAGCTATTTTATATATTAAAATGTCTTTAAGTTTATAAACATGTTGGTGCGCATAAACCAAACTGACGTGAATATACTCATGCGATTTTCGAGAAAAGCATCACGGCAGCGAAATGACGTCATATTCGTCTTTTGGTTTGATAATCGGCTCCGTATCACGTGGCCGCTTGTTCTGGCTGCGAGTTGAGAGAATGAGCGCTTCTGGATTTTCTCGAATTTTTGTTGCCGCCCGCCATTGCGGAGAGAAAAAAACGCTAACACGTGTTTTGTACCTTATAAATAACAATAAATATTCTGAGAGGTATTTATAGAACGTACTGAAATGGCTGCATGCCTCTTTAAGAAACATGTCTAACTTCAATGAAGAGCTATAAATCAATTTTGAATAATAATTCCTAGCAGTTTGAATACTTATTTTGCTGGTTTGTTAGACCAAAGTAGTTTAAGAGTATTTGTAACGAAAATCTACCAGAATGGACAACTTGCACACAACTTTTTTGCATATGGGGCAGTAGAGTTGAGAAATGCTCCGAAGAACTTATCGGAAAATATCATAATATAGTACATAATTATGTCATAAATTATCAAATGTTGAACACGACTTTAGAATCTTTTTGACAAAGGCAAATTTCCAAAAGTTAGAATTCAATACGATTGTTCGCCGCTGGGCTTCCATTCCATAATACGTTTTCATTCAGACATCAATTGTGAATGATGCACGTGAAGAGAAAACAAAAAGAGGAAGGGCGGTGATCTAGTTTCATTATGAAAAGCCCGAGATTGGAAACAAAAATTACTTGCTTGCTAAGGTTGTAAAACAATATACAAACTGGAAGTTTCCATACAAGTCTAAAATCATTCTTCAATACTCGTGGTGCGTATATTTAATCGCTCCCTTAATATACATTGCCCAAAAAGTAACTTTGTTTTCAACTTTTTACTAGCAGCCTCCAATAGTTTCTAATTAACTTAGAAGTTTAGCGATCGCTCCCTTGATAACGTCCTACTATGTATACGTATATATTTTGTTAAATTACGACATTCTTACATACAGAATAAATATGTTTTACGATTTTTAAAACAATACCCTTTGACACACATATCTTCTTCCCCACTATTTCATTTCTTATTAATATTATTTTGTTCGGACGATCCTATGTTTCAGAGTATAATGTCTCTTGCGTGTTTGGACCGCTGTTTCTCTACTTTGGCTGTACATTTCGGCAATTTTTTTTTAAAATTAGAGTTATGCCCCATGGAAAATAAGCTAATAATTTCGGGAGAAAACAATATGGGCAGCTAAAACTGGGAATGGCCCATTGCAAAACATTTTTTACGCTTTTTTCTGCCTCCAAAAAACCTTAGGTTTAAATCGACTTCTGCACGCACTGTCTCAGCTTCTACACTCTGTATAATGTCTGCGCGTCTACTTACCCGCAAAACACTCGAAGAGCCAATGTCTGCCATGTACGAAATAAGATCAGCGAATGATTAGGCGGAACATCTGTTTAGACCTCAAAATTAAGTCTGGTCTGTGGCATTGCGCAACTCAAGCAATACGCTTTCCATTGCGTAATGCCATAGCACAGACTTCATTTTTAGGTCTCGGATGTTCGCCCTTATTACTCGCTAAGGTGATTTCGTAGATCGCAGAGATTGGATCTATGAGTGTTTTGCGGGTAAGTAGACGCGCAGACGTTTTTTATAATGTAACGCGTAGGCAAATTAACTTATTTAAATTTCTCATAAAAATACAAAACACCCAAAATCAGTTTTCAGGTCTCTAAATAGGATTCGTATACATAAAAAATATTCAATGAAAACGAAAAAAAAAACGTTTAAAGCAAGATTAACGACGCTAGCTTCAATAAAATGATAACAAAGTGCGCTAAATTTTTTGACAAAGTCTGAAATTAGCAGCATAACTGAACACTGCCTATCCTAAATTTTTGTGACGACGTGAATATTTGGCTAGACTCTTTTTTAAGGAATGGGGTTGATATGAAAGGGCAGTCCTAACCTTTACTTAAATGGGAATGCATGTAGGAGTGTGCTCTTTTCGTAGATATGTAACAGCAGCACCGCAATTCAGAAATTTTAATGATTTTTACATAGGGAATTTTTTAAGCGAACCAAATAAACTTTGCAATGCCTTCGAGATTCAAAAAAAATATTAACTTAAAAAAATAAAATGCTCCTTCCTAAGTTTTTTTCTTTTTTCTGTCCGACCATTCAATTGCAGGGACGAGGGGACCATGAGCGAGGACGGTCGAATTTCATTTGTGGGCCGCACCAAGGAGATGATCAACCACAGGGGTTTGAAAGTGCCGCCACTGGAAGTCGAGAATGTCCTGAACACGCACCCCCACATTCAGGAGGCGCAGGTACGTTTTCTAAAGAGCGGTGAGATAGAACGAGACATGCGTGCGATCATTCTTTTCTTGAAATTAGGTGCAGTTCGAGAGTGTGGCTCGTCTTGTTTTCGTCCGCAAAACCTTCACGTTCGTCGAAGAAGTAGTGACTCTGCTTAATCGATTTCTCTACCCCGAAAACAACACGTTTAATGCATACCAGAGGCGCACCTCACATTAAAAAAAAAAAACAAAAACGGTAACTGTTACGTAGTGCACTTCATGCTTATGATGTTGATAAACTTGATGAATATGTTTAAGGTTGCAGACACGTTATGAAAAATTGTGGTCTGCATTTTGTTTTTATTTATTAAAATGATATCTTCATTTATTTGGGGATAGTTTCAGTACGTGGACGCTACAACTCAATGTCGCAAGACGTCTTCGACATTCCAACCCAAGTTCTACAGCTCAGGTCCAGCCAGCCTAAATCCCTCGCCTTTCCTTTAAAGGACGCAAAACTAAGGTGACTCTCAAGTACCGCTACTATAATCAATAATAATCTCAGACAATCGAAGGTTGTCGGTCAGTCCGCTATATAAGCATAACATAAGCACAAAAACACACTTCATTTTTTGGCGGATGCACCTAAGTTCCTAAGACTCGCCGAGTAGATAGGTCTTATCTAACTCCGATTCTATACTTGCTAATTTCGCGTCGTACAATCCCTTGCAAAAATTTCAGAAATTACATATATCGACAACTGCTACCAGGTGTGGTGGAGGTGATCAAAGACATGTTTGCATGCTTCTTTCCTGCCCTTTGATTCAGCGCTAGTTTGAGGCGGTCATGATAACAAAGAAATGAATAAAAATAAAACTTGCCAAAAAGCAGAGAACAGTTTAAGACCCCGCGCAGAACTGCGCAGGGCCTTATGTTGTTCGCTGCTTTTTGATGCGTTTTATTTAGAACTATTAATGCTAGAAGTACAAAAACAGTAAGAATAATATGAATTCCTTTAGAGGGGCATGAGGACGGCGGATGGAGCGGTCGAAGCCGGTGGTATCATCGTCTTGCTCTTCTTGTGCTTGTGTGGCGGAAGTCCGAATTTCGGGAGTTGGTCATTGGTGCAGCGTCTTTCTCGAGTCTCGGTAGTCTCCGGGGACGGTCTTCTTGAACCGGGTGCAGGGCTTGTGGTGGTAGGTCTCGCAGAGGTACGCTGGGAATGAGGTAGAGGGCCCTAGAGCGATAAAGTGGCAGGTGAAAGTTACCCCCAGTTGGCCGCCACCATGAAGCACATTTCTTACCACAAGACACGTGACCTTATAGTTTTGCGTCTAGTTTTTAACGGAGTACCGCGCACAAATAATTACTTATTTATCTTTATAAAAACTACCGACGAGATAAGTTAAGTTTGTTTTAGGTCCAAAATGTGCTTTACGACGAAATTTTGGGCAGCTTCGCAATGCCTTTGCTAGATGCCGTCAGCAGCGATGCTGTGTTTTGGGCTTTCATCGGAGCAAGACACTGATCACTGGGTTAACAGTATTGAAAATATAGTTTATCGTATTTTTTACAACGATTGCACAACGAATATCAGCTCAGGTTTACGCAAAAGCGTGAGGATTTGGTACGGTCACGTGTCTGTTGGTCCAAATTGTACAACATGGCATCAGCCAAGTGGGGGTCACTCTTACCTGGTGAACGGGATACGCGTTTATCGCTCTTTTGAGACTTTGTGTTTGTCCGTCCCTTCTTGTCCCAGTCTGGGGGCTTATAGTGAAATGTTGCAGCCCCTCTACCTCGTTTGGTACGCTTAATCAGCTGCAGTGCCTCGCACTTCTACCAAAAATTTTACGGGTGAAGGCGGCAAGAGGATGAACAGTGAACTAAAAATGAATGTTTTATCGGAGAACATGTGCCATTAAAAATAAAAACCGAGCGTTTAGACAGCAGATTAGCGGGTCGCGATTTTTCGGCGTAACAGCAAGCGAGAGCAAGACTGACTCGACAAGGTCCCCCGTGGCTCCTTATCTAGTTTGCGCCACCATCTCGAAACTTCGGGCCATAAGGTTCGAGCGCCGCTCTTTCGGGTGAGAATGAACAGCCACTTTTGAGAACTTGAAAGCAGGATGATATGATCAAAGTTACGTCCCGAGTAAGAATAAACACAAATCTCCTAGAAGTCCGTGACCGAGCGTTGCTTGCTCTGCCTTGCGCGGGGAAATATTGTAGTCAAGAAAATGTCATATATTGTCACGGGTGGTGACCAAAAAACAATAGATGAACAGGAAGAAATAAACGTTTAATGTGGCGAACTTGTGCCAAAAACAAAAGAGTACAAAAGATAATAACAAAGCGTCGCGGGCGTCGAAATCGGCGAAACCGCAGGATCGAGTGCTGGGGCGAGACTGACTCGACAAGGTCGCGGGCGGCCTCTTATCTAGGGTACGCCGCTATCTCGAAGATTCGGCGAAAGCGGTTCGAGCGTCGCGTGATCGGGGCGAGAATGAACACGCACTTTCTAGAAAACAAAAGCAGGGATAAATGATAGAAGTTACGTGCGGTACATGAATAAACGGGAACTTTCTGGATGACCGTGACCGAGCGTTGCTTTCTCAGCCTTGCGCGCGGCATTACTCCCCCCTTTAAAAGTGCATCGCCCCGATGCAGTGTAAAACAAATCAAAATAAAAAAGAACGATAAACTAGAGTCTTTTGGAGCACAAAAGGTCCACAGTCCTATCGAGCGTAGTACGGCTTCAGGCGCACGACGTGGACGACCTCAGGTCGTGGTGGGCGGCGTGACGATGTTCGTGTTCCGTCGGCCATCACCTCGTAGTTCAGCTCGCCGAGGCGACGAAGTACCTTGTATGGTCCAAAGTACCGTTTCAGCAGTTTCTCACTGAGGCCGCGGCGACGGATGGGCGTCCATACCCACACCCTATCTCCGGGCTGGAAGTGGACGTCCCTGCGACGAAGGTTGTAGCGGCCGGCGTCGACGCGTTGCTGGTCTTGAATCAGGAGTCGGGCGAGCTGGCGAACTTCTTCGGCGCGTTGAGCAACCGCCTGGGCGTCGTCGCTCTCGTTGTCAGATGGCTCATGGGGCAGCATGGCGTCCAGCATGGTCGTTACCTTCCGACCATGTACCAGCTGGAAAGGGGTGAATCCAGTGGTCTCTTGAACCGCCGTATTGTAGGCGAACGTGACGTAGGGCAGCACCTCGTCCCACGTCTTGTGCTCTACGTCGACGTACATAGAGATCATATCGGCGATTGTCTTGTTGAGTCGCTCCGTCAGCCCGTTGGTCTGCGGGTGGTACGCAGTTGTACGACGACGGCTGGTGTGACTGAGTCGGAAGATTTCTTGGGTCAGTTGTGCTATGAACGATGATCCGCGATCTGTAATCAGAACTTCTGGAGCGCCGTGCCGGAGGACGATGGACTCAATGAAAAACTTGGCAACTTCCACAGCAGTCCCCGAAGGAAGAGCTTTCGTTTCGGCGTACCGCGTGAGATAATCTGTGGCGACGATGATCCAGCGATTTCCCGACGTCGACGGCGGAAAAGGGCCAAGTAGATCCATTCCGACCTGCTGGAAGGGTGCTGTTGGCGGAGGAATTGACTGCAAGAGTCCGGCCGGCCTCGTCGGAGGTTTCTTTCGTCGCTGGCATTCATGACATGATCGCGTGTACAGGTGGACGGTTTTGGGGAGCTTGGGCCAGTAATACTTTTCACGAATACGTGCCAGGGTCCGGTTGTAACCAAGGTGTCCGGACTTCGGGTCGTCGTGGCAGGCTTGAAAGATCTCCTCCCGAAGGTCGGTCGGGATTACCAGCAGCCATGGCGAGTTGTTGTTCCCGAAGTTCTCTTTGTAGAGTACACCTTGTCTAATGGCGAAGGTCGGCAGCGCTCGTGAAAAAACACGTGGCATGGCACTCCCGCGCCCTTCCAGGTGCTCTATTAGTGCGCGCAGCTCAGGATCGTCTCGTTGACGCCGGGCCATGTCGTCGATGTTCACTGCGCCCAGAAAACACTCGTCGTCATCGTCGTCGCTGCTGCCAGAAGGTGTTGCGACGGGAGCTATGGACAGGCAGTCGGCGTCGCTGTGCTTGCGGCCTGACTTGTAGACGACGGTCATGTTTAACTCTTGTAGTCGGAGACTCCACCGCGCGAGGCGTCCTGACGGGTCCTTGAGGTTCGCAAGCCAGCAGAGCGGGTGGTGGTCCGTGACTACCCGGAACGGGCTCCCGTATAAGTACGGACGAAACTTCGTAATTGCCCAGACGACCGCAAGGCATTCTTTCTCAGTAGTGGAGTAATTTCTCTCCGCCTTGGTCAATGTCCGACTTGCGTAGGCGATGACTCGCTCGGTGCCTTCTTGTACTTGAACCAAAACCGCGTCAAGCCCTGCGTTACTTGCGTCCGTGTGAATCTCGGTTTCCGCATCCTGGTCGAAATGTCCAAGAACAGGAGGAGTCTGCAGTCGTCGCTTCAGCTCGTCAAATGCCTGCTGCTGTTCATCGGCCCATTCGAACTTCTCGGCGTCCTTCGTGAGGTGTGTGAGCGGTGCGGAAATTCTTGCGAAATCTCGAACGAAGCGCCGATAGTAGGCACATAGCCCAAGGAACCTTCGGACGGCCTTCTTGTCTCTTGGCGCTGGAAATGCTGCGACGGCACGAGTCTTCTTGGGGTCTGGGCGGACACCTTCCTTACTAACCACGGGGCCGAGGAACTTCAGTTCGTCATAAGCGAACCGACACTTTGACGGCTTCAGGGTGAGTCCGGCGGTCCGTATGGCTTGGAGAACTGCTCGGAGTCGTCGCAAGTGCTCGTCGAAGTCGCTGGAAAACATGACGACGTCGTCGAGGTAGACGAGACAGCTCTGCCACTTCAGTCCTGCCAGTACGGTGTCCATGACACGTTGGAAAGTTGCTGGCGCCGTGCACAGTACGAAGGGCATCACTTTGAACTCGTACAGTCCATCCGGCGTGACGAAGGCTGTCTTTTCTCGGTCCTTTTCGTCGACTTCGATCTGCCAGTAGCCGCTCTTCAGGTCCATCGATGAGAAATATCGAGAGTGGCGCAGCCGGTCTAGAGTGTCGTCGATGCGGGGGAGTGGGTAGACGTCTTTCTTCGTCACCGTGTTCAGCTACCGGTAGTCTACACAGAACCTAAGCGTCCCGTCTTTCTTTTTAACCAGTACGACTGGAGAGGCCCAAGGACTGCTTGAAGGTTGAATTATGTCGTCGTTCAGCATTTCTTGAACTTGCTCCTGGATCGCCTGCCTTTCTTTAACGGAGACTCTGTATGGCGATCGATGCACAGGGCGCGCGTCGTCCTCGGGAACGATGCGGTGCTTCGCAACGGTGGTTTGGCGCACCTTCGACGACGTGGCAAAGCAGTCGCGGTATTCGGCGAGAAGGTTAATCAACTGTCGTCGTTTCGGGCCCGGGAGTTTCGGGTCAATGTCGAGCTGCGCTGGCGACGCACTGTCTTGCTGAGGTGGCGAGAATTCGTCAGTAATGGCGGCGACAGCGGCGGAGTTTTGGAGTTCCTCGACCTGGCCCACGGCTGCACCTTTTGTGAGGTGTTGCGCTTCATTTCGGAAGTTCGTGACGAGGACCACAGTGCGGCCATCCTGAAGTTCAGCAACTCCTCTTGCGACGCCTATTTTTCTTCCCAGAAGCAACTGGAGGCTTCCTTCGAGCAGAACTTCGCCGCAGAAATCTTCGGTGATCCCGACGGGTACGAAAACATTCGACCGCGGCGGTAGGTTCACGTGGCTGGCGAGGACTCGGACCGCAGATGACGTCGCTTTGGGTTCCTCCGGTGGTGAAACAGGCTTTCGCAGCGTCAACCGGTTTGCTCCGAGGTCGATGACGGCGCCATACTCGCAGAGGAAGTCCATTCCGAGGATAACGTCCCTCGAACAGTCTTGCAGAACGACGAACTTTACAGGGCACGTCTCACCGTGGATCTCGACGCGAGCGGTGCATCGCCCGACTGGTGTGATGAGGTGCCCACCGTCGGTTCGTATCTGAGGTCCATCCCACGGCGTCGTGACTTTTCGAAGGCGGCGGGAGAGCCTCCCATTCAAAACTGAGTAGTCTGCTCCGGTGTCCACGAGTGCCAATGCGTCGTGGCCGTCGATGATGACGTTTAGGTTGTTGGACACCGTTTCAGGAGCGTCGTTTCGGTCTCCGGTAGCGTTCGAGTGGGGGCCCTCCGACGTTCGTGGAGGATCTTGGCGTCGGTCGTCTTCGGCAACTCCACCTCCAGGGGTTGCCGCGCCTAGTTTCCCCGGCGTGGAGCGAGGGGCGACAGGCTTTCACGTCGGGGTCGGTGCATCGGCGGAGCTGGACGTCGTGGTGAAGGCGATCGGAACTCTCGGCGGGACGCAGGCTCGGGGGACTGGGGTCGTCGCAAGTACTCGTCGATCTCCCGATGGCGTTCACCATACCTGGGACGCGGGTCGCTTGGGTGGAATCCGCGCAGCCCGAGTCGTCGGTATGGGCATCGGCGGTACACATGGTCAGCTTCCCCGCAGTGGTAACACAGCGGGCGTCGGTCGGCCGTCCTCCATACGTCTGTCTTCCTCGGCGCAGGTCGGTCTGGGTGAACGTGCGTCTGATCTTCCTGTCGTCGGGGATACTGCGGCGTTGGGGCGTTTCTTCGGGGTGGCGCCGCGGCTTGGCGGGGAGCTTGCGGCGGTCGTCGGGCTATGGCAGCGTAGCTCAACGTTGGTTCCTGCGGTGCCACCGTGGTGACGGGAACCTCTGGTTGGAGCGCCCGTTGTACTTCCTCGCGCACAGCCTCGGCAATGGAAAGTGTCGCTGGACGACTTGCGGCTGGCAGCAACTGGCGGAGTTCCTCTCGGACGACCTCCCGGATAATTTCGCGGATATCCGTACCAGGAGCGTGCTCGCCGCCAAGCAGCGCGGTTGCAGCGACACTTGGATGTCGCTGGTAGTGGGAAGCGCGCGCTTGGAGGGCGCGCTCGATGTTTGTCGCCTCGGTGACGAAGGCTTCGACGGTGCCCGGCGGGTTGCGCACGAGGCCTCCAAAGATGTCGTCTCTCACCCCGCGCATGAGGACCCGCAGCTTCTTGTCGTCTGTGGCTCGTGGGTCGGCACGGGCGCTCAGGCGGAGGACATCTTCTACGAAGCTTGTGATGCTTTCGTCGGGGCCCTGCGTTCGAATTCTGAGGAGATCTTCTGCCTTCTCCCGTCGGTGTAGGGTGGCGAACGTCCGCTGCAACTCGGCCACACAGATGTCCCACGACGTAAGCGAAGCCTCGTGATTCTCGAACCAATGCCTCGCAGTACCCTCCAGCGAAAAGTAGAGGTTCTGGAGGCACTGCTCCGCAGTCCATCCGTTGTGCCGCGCCACACGCTCGTAGTGCTTGATCCAGTCGTCGACATCCTCATGAATCTCGCCGTTGAAGGGAGTCGGCGTACGGGGAGCGGCGGGCAGGTAGACGACGGCACGAGCGGCGGGGGTCGGCGACTGGTCGGCCATCGTCGGCTTCGTTGGCTGCTTGGTCCTGGGCGGCAGAAGTCCGAATTCCGGGTGTAGGCCTTGGGTGCGACGACTGAACCGGATCTCGGTAGTGCCTTCGTCGGTTCTTCGTGGGCTTGGCGTCGGACTTGCACTGCGAACCCTCGGAGGGGAACGCTGCACGGGCATGCGTTACCCCGCACCTCCACCAATATGTCACGGGTGGTGACCAAAAAACAATAGATGAACAGGAAGAAATAAACGTTTAATGTGGCGAACTTGTGCCAAAAATAAAAGAGTACAAAAGATAATAACAAAGCGTCGCGGGCGTCGAAATCGGCGAAACCGCAGGATCGAGCGCTGGGGCGAGACTGACTCGACAAGGTCGCGGGCGGCCTCTTATCTAGAGTGCGCCGCTATCTCGAAGATGCGGCGAAAGCGGTTCGAGCGTCGCGTGATCGGGGCGAGAATGAACACGCACTTTCTAGAAAACAAAAGCAGGAATAAATGATAGAAGTTACGTGCGGTACATGAATAAACGGGAACTTTCTGGATGACCGTGACCGAGCGTTGCTTTCTCAGCCTTGCGCGCGGCAATATGTAGAAAACATGTAGTCATGGCAGTTATCAGTGTTGTTTTCCTTAAACACGTGGAAGTTAGTGTTTATTATACTCAATCGAATCACACGGTTTAAAGTTGCGCCGTGTTCTTCCACCTCTTTTTCTGTCTTGTCGGTGTTTTTTTCGTATTATTACACTTAATTTTCTACTCTGCCCTTCCGTGGATGTTCACTTTGTGCGAATGTCTTAATACAAAAAAGAAGTTCAAGTTACTCGCACTTTATCTACACATTCTACAGGTCAATGGGCGTTCCATTTGAATTCGATGCGTTACGTTCCAATTCGTGTAAAGCCAACCTTACTCATAAGGCGCTACTTTTATGATGACCTAGTGATCCTCATGTAAAATATTCGTAGTTATTTTATTTCGTTTTCCTGTTTTGTCGGTTTATTTTATTTTGTCGGTACTTGTGCTCACCTTTGTTGAATTTTTTTCTTTCATTTGTGTTTTTTGCCCGGACGGCAACAAAATGAGAAAGGGGAACGTGTTGCTTCCTGAAAAATGTATTTGTATTAGTTAACCTTTTTTAAGGCTGTGATACTTTTCTCAACCTGTTTCGCATTACTTGCTATTCAAGACTACTCCAATGGCACGCGCTAAAGTGATAGGTCCTTTGTTGCAAATACCTGGCCGGAACTAAGTCCACACTCTAAAACACTTAAATTTATCGAACGGCTTTGCTCAAGTCAGTTCTCAGTACAAATTGGTTATTTCTTCCTTACCTTCTACACTGGGATTAATTGAGAAAGAAATGCTCGGTAAAGGGACATTGTCGCTTTGTTTCCCGTCGACACGCCCTATTAAGTCAATGTTCCCGGTAAGGTACCTGATTCTTTTAGGATCAAGTGTGTTGCGAACCCTGGGCAACTGGCTACGTGAGGCACACTGTGAGATTTCCGTTCGGAAAGGAGAAGCGAAAAAATGACAGGTACAGTGCGCAGGAACTGTACTTGTCATACGATTTGAAAGCAAGGCTTTCCTGTAATTTACGCGACGGAGACCTGCCTTCAAACGTTATTTTTTTTTTTAGAGCGAATCTCTTAGGCGCTTGTTTCCCGTTTGAGCGGCGTCGCCGCCGGCGTAACACCGCGTTGCATTATGGGGCGTTTCCTATTATGACGTCACACGTGATGTCCTTTTACGTCATGAGAGTAATATGTTCTTTCTAAAGTTTGCGGGAAATTTTTTTGCTAAATCTGGTGGGAAATTTCCCCTCACTGAATTTAGCGCAAAAAATTTCCCGCTATATTTGAAGGGAAAATGCCCACTAATTAGCGGTAACATTTCATGCTAAATTTAGCGGAAACTTTTTCCGCTAAATTCTGCGGTTACATTCTCCAGCTAAATATAGCACATCATTTTCTTCACTAAATCTAACAAAAACATTTTCCCGCGAAATTTAGCGGAAACAAAAATTGCCCACTAAATATAGCGGTAATATTTCTCCGCATAAGGAGGGAAAATTTCTCCCTAAATTTAGAGAAAATTTTCTGCTAAATTTAAAACGGTGTTAAAGAGGAGGTGGAGAAAGTACGGGGGGGGGGGAAGTAAAATAATTCCCTCTCGTCCGTACCGGCCCCTCCTCCTCCTCAAGAGCTGCCCTCTAATTCGGCATTACAATGACTTGTAAACGTCTTTCATTTTTAATTATTTTTAGTTGTTCTTTTATCGTCCGAGTTTTGAAATACAATATATATATATATAGTTCCAAGAAAAGCCTTTCTCAAAGCTTTCAATTACAAAAGCTTCTTACATTTTTTAGCTCATTTTTACATAGGAAAGAAGTCGTCTTATTGCATAGCGATAAACACTAGATTGAGGGTATAAATTGGTTTCAGCAAAACTAAAAGTATTTTTTAATTTCTTTTAAATTTTCGGCAGGTTTTTGGAGTACCGGACGAAGAAGTTACAGAAAAAGTGTGCGCGTGGATCAAACTGGAACCAGAAAAATCCTTAACCCAAGACGACATCAAAGACTTTTGCAGAGAAAAAGAGGTATACGAAATGTTCAATTAAAATTAGCTGTTGGGAGGGTTACGTCATATCTTAAATACTAACGTGCCAATGATGAGGGCAGACCATTTTCTTAACTTTTTACATAATATTTGAAGTTCAGCATGAATTAATTTACCATTTTATATTAGTCCTTTTTCTTCGAATTTGCGCCTCCAAAAAGGAGTTACTTGGGTGGTGGCGTTGCGTGTGAGTACCGTTGAGTTTAACTAGTGACAGTGAACTCGTGTAAAGTGAAAAACATTCCAATTGAATATAATCGCATCGTTCTTTAAACACTCAGTTGATGGTAAGCGCTTGTCTTACCAGTATCTTTGTTCTGTCCTTGTCTTTTGCGCTTTCGTATTTAAGAATAGTCGAGGATGTAACATCGCTATACTTTCATATAGTCAAACGTGGATGAGCTAGACCTGAAAAAATTACGTCAATATAAAGGAGAGTTCACGGTGGTCATCTTTGGCAATATATGTATACCTATTGTGTTATTTCGTTTTATAATAAATATAAAATACTTACAAATATGTAATTCTTCCACTGCCATATTAGCGTTTCAGGCAGAATAGAGCTATTCTTTTTGTCATTAGATGAATAATGCTGGGAATAGAAATATGCGTTGGACTCCAAAGTTACCAACTGCTTGTCTACAAGAGGACCATTATCATAGGCAGAAATGTTAACATCAGTACGCAACGGTTACAGGCGATGTGATTGCTCTCGTTTTATGCAGAATAGTCAAAGAAAATGGGGGACTGTTACGCGAATTCTGTCTTTACCATTCTGGTCACTAGGTTCAGCAGATGTAACAATTTATCTCTCAAGCTCTCTTGTGCACTAGGAGGGACTATGCAGCGCCACATTCCTGATTGGTTGTATTTGCCGGCACTCATAAAAATTTATGATAGAAGATACTTGGAACAATATCCACCATTGTCAGTTGATGAAGTAACTATAATTTAAGTTAGTAAACTGTGAATGATTCTTCTATTCGCCACGTTGAAACTATACGTTTAAACCGGTTACTATTATAAAATAAATAATCTTATAGAACATAAAATAATTCTTTCGGATATTCATTGATTAATGTTCCCATGATTTTCACCGATTTTGAAGCTAATTGTGTTGTGACTATGTCTACACACCGAGCAGTTAGTCTTCTCATACGGCCGCCTGCGGTCTGCGCTAAAAATAAGACACTTTGCAGTTTAGTGCCACTGCGAGCATAGCTTGAGTTTTTTAACGTTTGTCGCGCAGTAGTTTAATGGTTATTCAGGATGCTATGCCGGTACGATGCTCATCAAGCTTAAAACGGGCAGAGGTGGGGAATGAGCCCAGGGTCCCTTGGTTCTGCAGCGCGAGTTTTTACTCCACGTGCCTTTTAGATGCAGCACGTTAACACACTTCTACATTGATCCCCCTCCCCCTTAGTCGACGCGAGGATAGAACTGTGTTCAGAAATAGTACCGCAAGCTCGGCACGCAACGTTATGATCGACAAGAAGGGGACGTGTGGTGAACGCCCCATTCTCCCAGCAGCCGACAGCGTTCGTATGCATGGTGGCTCATGTGCAACCATCACTATGGTATTATCTGTAATTTGATAGTTTCTCCTCAAAGGCAAAACCAGTGAATCTTTTGAGAATTGTGTTCGAAATGCAACGGAGCAGGCAAGATATGTAAAAATATCTAAGAAGTCGTGTTTCACTTTACTGGTAAACCTTACCTCCACCGAGCATAATAAAATACCCTATCCGCCCATTTATGCTAACGTCCTCTTCTCTACTAGCCGTGAATGGAGAGGTGGTGCTGTTGCTTGCTTGCCGAATATGCTGAACGACGCATACAGACGAAAAATTCACCAGGATCTGCGCCTCCATCAGGCGCTTGTTGACTTTCACCTGGCTTCAGCTTCTCGTGCGATGGAGTGTATCAAGGGCAAAACGCTCGAGATAGAAGCCATGCGCGCATTCAATTCATAGTTTGTCACCGGCTACGGAAGCATTGATAAGGAGAGAGGATTCACCCGTACGATTGTCATAGCTTTACTTCCAGTCCGCGTTGCCCTGCAGAGATAGTGACAACTTCTCTCGTACGATAACGACCCTCTTTTGCGTGGCACTGTCGGCAGGAATTCCACCACTCCATCTGCGCCCAGTTTCTCAACATGGCAGAGAAAACGTAAACAAAAAACTTCGCAAAGCCTGTTTCTTTTTTCTTTGAAAGAGAGTTGGCCTGGAGTGATGACTGCCTCTGTATCCAGTGACAGCCGTATCGATTGTGTTGTTCCCTGGATATGCTGATACTAAGCTTAAATATGGAGGCTACAAAGACCTGCATTCATAGCTGTGGTTTATGGGATACTCGTATCAAAACCGCTAACCATTGTTTAGGGTTTACTACGATAAGCAGTCGTCTTCCTGAAAGGGATTCTTAAAATCAATATAGAAAATCGATCCAGGTCTTGCAAGTTTTCAGAGGTAAGTAAAGTCGTGGGACTCCGCTGTTTTGATTCCAGACAAAAACATGACACCGCACCTGGTATTATGTATTTTCCTATTCCCTGCCACTAGTTAAAATTTTCGGCAAATATTCTTCGCACTCACAACGCTGGCATGACCATTGAGATGAAGGCCAAAACTTATTCTAGAAGATATCAAGATACGATTGAAGTACTGCCGAAAATAATATAACCATTTATGTAAACAGTCCAACATGGTGAACGTAGTGAGGCTTGAAGCCCTCAGCATTATATATCCGATGGCGATCCGTGCAGGATTAAACAATGCATACGGAAAACCCCTTGATCCTATTTCGTCATCAAAGCCGCCTCTTTCGCGTCGATATGTTCCTCGGTATTGACTCAGTGATTAGAACATCATGAAAAGCATGCGCATCAGAGAGGTGAACGCTCGATTCTCCCAGCCGTCTTCCTCTTTATAGGAAGACGGCTGTAAATTTCAACCTTTTCTATCTGTCGCCCAGGTCTGTAAATAAGCTTTAAATCTTGCTAGGCTAAGACCGGTGTAAAGCGCAGTAGACGCAGGGACAGAAACCAAGAAATAGCTTCGACATGGTGTCCTAACCCCAGAAGAGACTTGTGGCCCGTGAAAGTATTCAAAGAATTCAAGGTATTTTCCTAATAAATACTGATGGATCTTTTTTCAGCTGCAAGAGTCATCCTCTAAGGGTCTATCTGAGAGGGGGCTCGGCACCGTAGCCAGATATTTATATTGCGATAGTATTTTATAGACACTTTGAAGTATGATTTCCTATCTAGATGCATTTCAATCATGTTTTTGTATCTCAGGTGCAAAATACATTGCCAATGCATCAAGCGTAATTTAATACTCTGACGGTTTTAAGTATTTAGCTACATTTTCTGGTGAAAATGAGCTGTAAAGTTCTACGATTAACTATAAAAAAAGAAGTTTGGTGTTTGAAGTCCCAAGGCTTAAAACACGCACCCGCCGTAAAAACCGCATCTACCGGAGTGTAGCCCGGACACCTGGTATACAGCACACTTCTCTAAATTCAGAAAAAAAAAAAAAACACAAAAAAACATAGTGGTTCGAGGAAATGCTCTTGTAACAATAGCAGGACAAGCTGCTTAAACACAGACCTGCAACGTTTTCACTTTAGTAAAGCCGACGCTGGAATAGTGGCAGCTGGGGCGAAGGAAACCACAAAGCATAGACAACGGAGAACATCGTAAGAATAGCTTTTTTTCTGTTAAAACAGATTACATGCAGACTAGTGCTAAGAGGGAAGGTTATTTTGTTACATCTTCTCACCTTGGCGACAAAGAAGCTGTAAGGGCATAAGCTGTAGGTCCACACTCATGGCGACGCAGGGCTTATTTCGGGCAGATGCATCTTGTTAAGAACGGCAGCCACTGGGCAACAGTACATAAATAGTTCACTGAGGATGATAATGTAGCTTTGCAGCTGTGAATAAAGGAACAATTAAAGATAAGGGGTGGTCCATAAATCAATAACAAGAGTTAAACACTAACACTAAATAAAAAAAAAATCGCCATCAACTGCAACCTATCCGCTCTTTCCGATGTTCGGGGAGAAATGAATTTTGTATGTATATTGTCAGGGGTGGTTACCAAAAAACAATAAATGAACAAAAAGAAATAAACGTTTAATGTGGCGAACTTGTGCCAAAAATACAAGGGGTACAAAGGATAATAACAGAGCGTCGCGGGCGTCGAAGTCGGCGAAACCGCAAATCGAGCACTGGGGCGGGAATGAACGGGGCTCGCCACCTGGAGCCCCTTATGTACATGCGTGGGCTTCTGGAATAATCGGCATAGAAAGTTCGACGCGTAGAACATTCAGACCTCGAAGAAGCAACATGATTCTCGAATTTACCGGAATACTAGTATGCAGGAATAAACAAAACGATGCCCCACTCCCAGGAATCGAACCCTGGCTTTTCGCGTGGGAGCCAGATACGATAACCGTTAGGCCACGCGCGCGCTGCTTACTTGGCCAGCTGCGCGCGCGGCATTACTCCCCCCTTTAAAAAGGCATCGTCTCGATTCCACGTAAAAGGCAACAATACAGAGCAAAACAAACAAAAGAACGGAAACATACGGAGGCTCGCGAAACAGAATCCTATCACGCGTTGCAGAAGATCACAGTTCGCAGTCTTATCGCGCGTAGTACGGCTTGAGGCGCACGACGTGGACGACTTCCGGTCGTAGAGCGCGGCGTGATGAAGTCCGTGTTCCGTCGGGCATCACCTCGTAGTTCAGATCCCCGAGTCTACGAAGTACTTTGTAGCGCCCGAAGTAGCGCTTTAGGAGTTTCTCACTGAGACCACGGCGGCGGATCGGCGTCCACACCCACACCGTGTCTCCGGGCTGGAAGTGGACGTCCCGACGACGAAGGTTGTAGCGGCCAGTGTCGACACGTTGTTGGGCTTGAATACGGTGTCTGGCGAGCTGGCGGACTTCTTCTGCCCGTTGGGCACCCACCT